AAATTGTAAGAAGGAAAAACCCTCTCCCCTTATCACTGGCCCAAAAGCCTTTCCCCAGTAGGGTAAGAAAAAAAAAGAATAAAAAAAAAAAAATAAAAAAAATCACAAACTGAAGCACGAAGGGAAAGTTACATACAGGAAACTGTGAAAATGATTCATCCACAACAGAACTTTCAAAGAAAAGTTTTAAAAGGCAAACCAAAAATTTCCCCCATACTTTCCCCTTTCCCATCTCTAACCTTAGGTAAGTGCCCATGACATGATGGAGGACATTGAGAAATCTTCCTCTTTCAAGTTATGTTAGATTATACCCGATTTGCAGTGAGAACAACAAAATTTATGTTAGGCTCAGCAGGAGCCAAACGGTCATTCTTTCACTGATGTAGCATGATCACATCTGTTACAGCACCAGTCTAGACCAACAGACCTCTGAGCTCAAGTAGACCAGCACAGAGAGAAGCAAAATGAGCAACTATTACAGGAACGGTGGTTGGAGGGTACTACTTGAAAAAAACAAAACCAAACAAAAACCAACCCAAACATTTCTGCAGACATATTTCATTACACACATCAGTTAAACATTTATTAAAAAAGGATGGCTATATCAAGCTCTAATTGGTAGAAAGCACATTTTAAGTTTTTGACTTGTCATTGAAGAGCAAAAGAAATAAATAACAATGCTCAAGCATTATGAAAGTATAAAACAGGCACCAACCAACTACATCTACTCTTTATTGTATTATCAGCTTCTAATTGTTCTTTCTTATTTACCAGCCTGCCTAAAGAGAATTTAACTATTTAAGCTTAACCTCTGTATCTCAAGGCAGCCCTGCAAGACATCTGCTGCTTTAGGAGAAAGACTCAGAACTGCCTGGTCACAATAACCAAGTTATCCCTTGAGTGCAAAGATGTCCTTTCAGCTGGAGCTGGAACACAGCAGAATGGTAATCAAGACAGTCCTGTGGCAATCCCACATGTGCACCACTTATTCTCAGAACAGATGTCATCATTCCCTAAAAATTCCAACTAGCTCACACAGTAATATCAACTCAAAGATTAAAATGAACTCTTCAAAATCTTGAGTAACACAAATCATGGAGCTACTGTATTTTACAGTAAAATGCAGAGGCTGTACTTTAAGACACTGTAGCAGCAATCTGTCTATACTATCTTAGGACTTCAACTTTTCCATAAAAAGTAATTAACCACCCACCTACATACGCAATAATCCACCTCTTCATATGAATATTATAAGAAACTTCTCCCAGTTCATGCAGAAATGTGAAGTTAAAAATGTCTTCTTTGCATGAATGTAACATTAAGCTGAAGAAACCAACATGGAAAGGAGTACAGACTGCAAATTCTCTTAAACTAGATCCAGACTACAACAGAATAGGCTTGATCTTTCTATTTGGAGTCTGAACAAAAAAATAGCATTACTTTAGCAATAGAATGAACCTTAAAAATTGTGTTTTCTGATGGACGCTACATAAAACTCATGGTTCAAAAATAAATATTACTAAAAAATTGATCTTGCTGGTCTTTGACAAAAACTTCCAGTTTTCTCTCTTAGGAAGAAAAAAAAAATTGACAATTTCCCAAAGTTTCAGTAGTTTAAACAATGTAGCCTGAAACTTTTCTAGTCAATAAACTGCCACATAACAGCATTTACCTACTATTTTCTCCTTTAACAATATTACAACAGATAAACTCTGGGTGGTATTTTATGGGGGAGAGGGACAGGACGGATGATGACACATGGTGTTTGATGGCTTTGGGTCTTTTTTAGTAAGTCATAGAATTAACTAGGTTGGAAAAGACCTCTAAGATCATCCAGTCCAACTGTTACCCCGGGACCGCCAAGTCCACCACTAAACCATGTCACTAGGGCCTCATCTACATGGGTTTTGGACACTTCTAAAGGTGGTGATTCCACCACTTCCTTGGGAAGCCTGTTCCAATCCCTGACTACCATTTCAATGAAGAAATTTTTCCTAAAATGCAGTCTAAACACACAGAAGTCCTTTGGATAATCTTTCCTGGACTTATTTTTTCAGGTATGCCTTCACATTTTGTTGGGTTTTCCATTACAACCTTATCAAGCGCAAAGTCATCAGAATTAGTAAAAATGCCTGCTCTGATTTTTTCACCTGAAACTTGTCCCAAAAATGCATCTAACAGGATCTAAGAGTTATAATAGAAGAGTCACAACTAGGAGAGAATATATATCAATCTGCTCAGCTGAACTAACTGCACTTCCACTGGAGTTCAATCAAGTGAAAAAAAACCCAGCAACCGAGTCCATCATCTATTTTATTGCTTCAGAAAACTTGTTAATTGTAATTAAGAAACAGTAAATTCGTAACTCTGGGATACCTTCAAGGAACTAGACAGAGACACAGAGGCACACAAAACAGTCTGCTTCTTTTTTGTCAAATTCTTTATGAAACAGTGGCTCCTATCTAACCACTGCTCTGAGCTCTGGTAGGAGTTACATCTGTTTTGTAGCCTCTGAGTCTGATGTAACTCTTGTTAAGTCTGCTCAATTTCCCTACCAGTTCTGTTTGGAGAAATAGTTCTAGTTCACAGTCTTGTTCAGAATAAAGAAAATTATTAGTTTATCCACAAACCAGCTTATAGTCACTGAGGTAGGTACAGGTTGTGTTGAACTACATTAGCTCTCAGATAATGACCCAAGATACTTCAGGCTGCAGTGCCCTAACAGCACAGAGCTGGACACTGCCTGCAAGAGGCCAGTGAGGGCTCCAACCACACACAACATTAAGGTAAAAATCAAACGGCTCCAAGGATGGGATCATCCCCTTTGTCTTAACACAGTGGGCTCAAAATTGAAGTTCAGGAGCTGCTTGAAGAGCTTTTTGCTCGTCCACAATGTGTGGACAGTGGGAGCAATAACAGGAGCCACATAACAGCCACTTCAACTGCTCCATTTCAGTCCCTGCTTCACATGAATCACAGCCGTAGGTAAGCAGATGGACAGAAAACAGCCCCAGCTTTAGAGCAGCAGCAGCAGAACTGAGCATGCAAGCTACAGCTACAATAAAGACACAAGGACTCTAATGGAGCACTTTGCCTGCCTCATTCTGACCATCTGCATCTCTTCATGCAATTTAATAAGTAAATTTTGGGAGAGCTGCAGATTTTTTGCAGTATGTAACAACAGAGCATATTTCTATGTTGTCTGCTAACAGATAAAGGGGGTTTTATATTTACAGTTAATAAACATAAATCGAGCATCAATTTGAACTGCAAAGGGCTTAAGCAGGACACATAAAATAGTTATACAGACAAAATAAATTCAAGAAATACCAACACACATACTAGAAGCGCCGATTATTCTCTATTCCTGTGATTTATTGCTGTCAAAGCAGACATAAAAACTTTGAAAATATGCTCAATCCACACAAATAGTGCAGAACACCGTGTATTTATCCTCTGCATTTTGGTTTTCTTTGGACAAGCATTATGCCACTCAGACTGTACTGATGTACTTCCTAAATCATGAAAGCATTGTACTGTGTTCTTACCCTAGAACCATCAGAGATGGCAGAATACATGTTTGCTTAACTCTCTGAATGCTGTCGACTGCACTAGTAAGTATATACCAATGGCTGAACCTATTCCACACAGCTAAGACCAGGGGGCAGCAATACTGTCAAACACAAACCAAAACAGGTTTATGTCTGACAAACCTGTAAGCAACCACAGCTCAGTTAGGTGAGAAATTAGCAGTTACAGTTATGGGAAAGTTACACAAATTAATCTAGGTTACATAATAAAAATAAAACACATAATTTTAAATGCAGTCATACAGTAGCTCTATTACCTGGTCAATTACTATAAACAAAAGCACTGTTAAAATGTTGAACATAGGAAGTTTTCTACTAAGCCAGCATTAACTAGTTTTAATCCTATTTTCCATACCCAAGACTATCTGGAGAACATCATGATTAGTACTCTTTTCTTGCATACCAAATGCTTTGCTCACGCCAACACAGTCAACAAAACTAAAAAGAATCTATTAAATCCATCTCCTAGATATGCGCCGGCTCCTGAATAATTGACAAATACTTCATGAACTGAGTATATAAGCCAAACCAACTCACTGCAATCCATGAAACAATAGCAAAAAGCTGTCTTCTTTCAGAGTCATTATGCTTGCAGCTTCAACCAAGTGTGGGGCAAGAGAAGAGCTATACTTTGCCTTGTTTTCAAGTAATTTGGAAGATGTTTCCTCCTAACTGCTGACCTAGTCCATAGGAAATCACACTGAAACCTCAAATAGGAAGCAGTGGACTGATATCCCATAGAAACCAGCTCTGGAAGTTTACCCACTTTCACACTCTTATTTCTTGACAATGAAGCAGGATGAACATCTAAATGACTTTCATAATATGCAATAAAATAACCAAACCAGCAGTGAGGCTTCAATGTTGAGATGCTGTGACTATAATCACTCTGCTGCATTATTCTGCTCCTGTCCTTCCACCACCTATTTTGTTTTCATATTATTTTCCTCACCCCACATTTATCTCTTCATCCTTACCTCGTTTCTTAAACGAGGTCTCCCTTGGCAGGTTTCTGCAGTCAAGAGTTCTGCGCTGACTTGATCTAACGAGTGGCTGCTAACGCTCCCAAACGATTCCCTCTAAAAATCCCAACATTCACTTTTCTTTCCTACTGCAACAACCACCAACACCAAAAAACCCAAGACATACAACAGTAATATTTAAATTTAGACAACTGCTTTATGCACTAATCTTTAAGACGCCACGGCAGGAAAGCTTTCAGTAACTAGCTCAGCACAAGAGCAAAGTCCCACAATTAAAAGACCAGATTACATGCATACCAATGCCTCTAGCTCCCTTGGATTTGAGCAGGCGGTACTGCCCTGTCTCTGATGCTCTTCCTCAAAGACAAAAAAAGAAAATAAAAAGGAAAAGAAAACAAAGGGAGGGAGGTGTATGTGGGTGATTTACCTCTTCCAGCAGCGTGACCGTATTTCTGCAGTTCTGCAACCGGGTGGTGAAGCTGGAGGTGGTCGGGGAGTTGTAATCCTCTGTGGTCTCGGCGATGAACTCCGACACGGTGATCTGGTCCGGCATGATCCTACCCCACCGGTAAAGCCCAGAAGGAGCGGAACAGAGAGATCCGGAGAAGGCGAAGCCAAGTTTGGGGGGGGGGGGGGGGGGGGGGAGGGGAAAAAAAAAATAAGGAAGGAGGAAAAAAAAAAGAAAAAAAAAGGAAAAAAAAAAAGAGGGAAGATGTTAGCAGGCAGCAGAGACCCGCAGCATCAAAGCCGCGGAGCCGCAGAGAGAGGCTGAGGCTTCAGCCTCCACATCCAGCCTCTCACCCGGCCGCCCCCTCCTCCTCCCGGACAGGAGGTGAAGGGGGAAAGGCCCCCACACGGCACCGCTGCCCGCGCAGCCCGGCCCCGCCGGCGGGGAGAGCTCCCTCGGCTGCCTGCGGCCCCCCGACGGCTGCGGGGACGGGGCCGTCTCTGAGAAGCCCGGCCCCACCGCCGGCGCTGAGGGGAGGGCGGGAGAGGAGGAAGAGAAGGAGGGAGCGGCGCCCGCCAGCCCCCACCCCACCGAGCTCAGCCCCTTTCCCCACCCGCCGCCGACCCCCCTCACGCCCCTCGCCTTAACCGCCGCTCCCGCCCGCCGCCAACTTGAGCACTAACTTGTGCGGGCTCCGGCTGCGCCCCCCGGCCGGGGGGAAGGAGGGGAAGGGCCGGGGCTGGCGGGGGCTTGGCCGGGGCTGGCAGCGCTCCCGCCGCCGCTGACAGTCACCCGGTGACTGACACGCGCTACCCAACGCCCGCCCGCAGCCGTTACGTGAGGCCAACGAGGAAGTGCTCTGCGCATGCTCCAGCTGCCTCCCTCCCTCCCCCGGCCTCGCGCACGCCCCCGTCAGGCCCCTCTCCCCCTCCCACCTCCCTCCGCGCTGCGGTGAGCCCCTCACGCTGCGGCTCTGTTTCGCTTTATTTTTTCGTTTTCCTTTTACTTCATTGTTAAAAAGAGGTTTCTGCTGGAAGCGGCAAGGCCGGGGAGCGATGGGCTCCGGCTCTGTTCCCAGCTGTGAGACAGGGCTCCCCGCGCCGGCAGCCGTATGGCAGTCGCAAGGACCTGACGGCCGCTTTCAGCCGCGGGGAGCGGTAGCCGGCTCTGTGGTATTTGGTCTTACTTTGCCCTTGTTTAAGTCCATCTAGCCAGTGGAAAAGCTGCTGCTTGTGCTACAAGCTTCCTATGGCATAAAGCATGAAGATTTCATACAGCCAGTGCTGGCAGTCATCACTTTAAGCAACCTGACCATACAGATTTTACTCTCCTTAGGTAATTTTTAACAAGTTCTGCCATGTCTCAGCGACACCGCTGGAGCTGCTGTTACTGATACCTGTTACTAATTATGCTCCTGAGCTTGTCCAAAGAGAGGAAGAGGGTGATACACCACTACTGCCATGGCTGGGCGCCACGGCTCACCACAGCCCCTCACACGCCATGGCCGGGCTGCCCATCTCACCACAGCCCCTCACATGCCATGGCCGGGCTCACAACAGCCCCTCACATGCCATGGCCGTGCTGCACATCTCACCACAGCCCCTCACATGCAATGGCCGGCCTCAGGGCTCACCACAACCCTCACACACACATGGCCGGGCTCACCACAGCCCCTCACATGCAATGGCCGGCCTCAGGGCTCACCACAACCCTCACACACCATGGCCAGGCTGCATGGCTCACCACAGCCCCGCACACAACAGCCACCACCTGAACCCTTCACCGCATCCCTGATGTCCTTTGTGCACTCACCAGCTGTATTTCCGAATAAACTAAAACACCATTTATCTGTCATTGCATCATGTAACTCTGGGAATTGATGGACAGCACTAATGAGGTTTTGGGTTGGGTTTTTTTTAAGCTTAGATTTTGGGGCCCATATGTGCCTTTCTAAAGAAGTGGAGGTCTCAGGAGACTCAAGTAATTATGGTCATCTGCTGTTTCTGTCTGATTTATTTACTCATACAATGTGTTTTCCTTTTCTGTGTTTGGGGTTCTCTCCACAGAAGCTGGGGAATTCAGGCATGGTAAATATTCTCAAATCTGAACAATTGGCAATGAGCAGTATTATTATGGATATGTTCATTCCAAAGGTTTTAATGTTCTCTATATAAGGATCAACTCCCGTATTACAATGCGCTCAGGCCTTTACATGGTTTTCTATGTAATTCAAATAAAAAATGCCTGTGCAACTCAAAAAATAGTTGAAAACATCAACAGAAGGCTGTGATGCCTGTGATAAAAAGGAGATACCTAATTGGTGTATACCCATAAAAAAATGATTTAAATGCAGTTCTGCCAGCAAAAAACATGACCAATACTCCTGAGAAATGGTCCTGCCTGAACATGTTTCCTTGATTTCATTGCCTTAGCAGAAGCCCTCCATATGGCCATGTGATTGCTGCTGTTGCTGCTTCACGTGATCCAGCTTTCTGGCAAAAAGGCTCCAGGCTCGTACAGATGATTGTTAAACATCATGAGACTCTGAAAGGTAGAGTAGGCAAGAGGAGGAGGGAGCCAAGAAAAGAACCGTGTGGGAGTTACACTGAAAAATGGGTTTGAAAATGAAGCACTGAAGAAGCAACTGGAGGGGTAGGAAGAAATTCAATTGATGATCATGTTCATAAGAGCAGTGGAGGAGGAAGAGAGATCAAGAGGATAAAAATGGCTGGTGGCATCAAAAGTAGTATGGAAAGGAGAGTGAAGAACTGCCTTGGGGTTTGGGCCAGGAAAGAGCTTTTAGCATCAGAAAGAGCTGTTTCAGTATACCTTGCTTGCATGGAAAGCGGATGGGTGAGGGGCTGGACACAGCCCGAGGGCCACACAGGGTCTCTGTGATCACCCCTGCTAATTTCCTGCAGGACATCGATCATGGGTTGTCAACACAGCCGTTCCTGAGCCAGACCTACGGTCTGAGGGTCAGCTTCAGGGTGTTCATGTTAGGAGGAGTCCTGATCCTGCTCTAGCAGATTTCAAGTGAAGATAAATCCATCACACTGATGGGTAAACTGGTTTAATTAGTTGAGTACTCTCACTGTTAAAATAGAATTGTTCCTCTTCAGACTGAGGTTACTGAACTTGAACAGTAGTCTTTGGACTGTAAAATAACTTCGTCTGCTATCCTAACCAAATTCTACCCCAGAGAGTGTGGACACAAAGCTGGACATATTGCTACAGACATAATTTCTTTAATACTCTTTAGAGAAAATGAAAACTGCAGAATTGAGGAGCAGCATGTTCAACAAAGAAAGGCAGGAGGCAGGCCAGGGAAACGGGAGCAGTGAAGAGTGACAGAAATGAAGGCACAGCAGAGAGTAGCAGTAGCTGAGCTTCTGTGTTTCCTCCTCAGGAAAAAAAAAAATTACCTTTAAAACTAAAATACATAAAAGTAGAAAGAATATGGAAGAATCCTGGGAAATCGGAGAACAGCACAAGGCCTAAAGATGAAAAGGAAGATCAATAGCTACTGATCATAATTGCTCATTAGTCTGGTCTTTTGGCAGTTCTGAAATTGTTAACTCTATTAAAGAGAATATAGTCCTCAGTTTTGCTGCTTTGAGGCAGCATTTCCTCTTCCCCTATACAAATGCTAGTAGAGAAAATAGCCCCGTGGGCATGACTTCTTTAGGCTTGGATTATCTTCACTTAAACTCACTGGAAGCAAAATTAGTTAATTAATATGCTGTTAATAAAAGATAAAATGTGCTTGCATTTAAACTAGTTAGATTATATAAGTGTTTCAGATAGCTTTTAGTGGATTTCAGATTTAACCATGTTTCCTGTTTTGAATTGCCATCAGTATCTGAGATTCACTTCTAAATTTGCAAGATTCACCTCTCTGTAAATTCTCACTAACTGAAATCACTGTTTCACTTCACAAATGTCAAAGAATAATCAGCAGAGTGTGAAAGTTATATTTCACGGCGTCTGCTCTAATGCTATCTTAGTCTGTGCTAGATCCTGGGGGAGGCTGTGTCGCAGCCTATTTCTCGTGTAAGGCTTGCCAATAGAAGTTATGCTTGTCTCACTCCTCTTGGTATTCTGATGTGAAATGCATTTTCCTGTCCATCCTGGGCCAAGCTAGAGCGGGTGAGCATCATGCAAGCACCTCTGGAAAGCACACTCCTTGCTGATGATACATTGCAGTCAAGGAAGTTAGGAAGTTTTGCTGTCTTGCCATCCCACCCAGTGATTCATTCTACAAATCCATTTTATTCCCTGGCCTTTTTTACTGTGATTGCCAACAGAAGAGTTAATTACAGAGAACTGATATTTCTGCAGTAATGATAGTCACCATGCTTAAGGAGAGGCTAAGGAGCATAGCAACAACAAGCACAAACTATTAACACAGGTGTTTTGCAACAGGCTGAATAGCAACTATGGTATTTTTCATTTTATAGTACTCTAGTCATATTTAGATTGAGATCAGCAGTCATTCACAAGAGCTGAGCAGTAGTCATCAGGTGATGATGACTATTGTCGTTGTTGCAAACTTTCAAACATTACAGATCCGTGCCAGAGGTGAAGAGCTACACAGCACTTGCATAGCTCTTTATGTCATCAGTGCAATTAACTGTTTAACCCATGCAACGGTGAGGTAGAGAACAGCAAGGTTATATTTCCACTATAAAGGAGACAGATACAGGAGGCTGTGGCCCTGCGACCAAAAGCAGGGCTGTATGGTTGGCTGTGTAGCTTTAGTAGTGCAAAGTCAGCTCTTCAGGGTATCAACACCTCAGCTGTGCTGGAGCTGGCGCCAGATCTCCCATAGGATACGATTACACTGCCTGCAGAGAGCAGCCCGGGAACCACCCCCAGGGCCACGCTTGCCTGCCGCATAGATAGCAAGCTCACAGATACAAACTCAGGTGTGGCTGCTGCTTGGTTTCTGGAAACAAGATTGACCCAGGTCCCTGGCTGTGCACCAAATATGCTGTCAAGTATGCTCAGACAAGCTGCCTTCAGGGCCATTTACAACCTGTCATTGTGGCGGGGAAATGAGTTGTTAGCTGAAGAAGGAAATCACTGTGCACATGGCTACTGTGCAGATGACTCCTCTTGATTAGTACAGACACAGTCGTGCCAGGATCTCACATGTCAAATTTGGGTTTTTTTTCTTTCCCAAGAATGGTCGAGATGTTGCCACTTTGAAAATATGGGTTTACACCAATGCTCATTTCTTTACTTTCAAGGTTCCCATTGTGGCTATTACTGCTGATAAAAGCATCTGCTGATCAGACATTAGAGCTTAATTAAAACGTCAGGTCATTGAAAGACACATGCTTTTGATAGTAAACTATATAGTTGTTCTTTTTATGCTCTTTAGCATCTTCACAAACACAGTATCACCAGCTCAGCAGCGAATAGCAACAGAACTAGTGGTGTGCTAAAACTCATCAAGAAAATATCCTTAGGCTATGCTGCTTTACTGTACTGCTATTCTGAATAAATTTGTGGTTTGGTGTTGTATTCATACATGTCAGCTAAACACAGCAGTCAGCATTATTTCTCATACTTCCTATCCTAACTCGCTGTATGGGATCACTATATGGTGTAAAGCAGCCGTGGCATTTGATATCTGATGAAGCCGGCTTGAGATTCTCAGAGAAAACTTGTACATGGTTAATTGCTGTTGCTGCATTTTAATAATTCCATTTTCACATAACTTCTAATAAAATTGATGGAAAATACTTATTTAAATTTATGGCTGTAGAATATCCACAGATATTTCTGAACATCAACTCTTCTCATTTGAGTTGAATGTTGGGCTTAGAGGTTAAAAGGAGCTTCAAATCAACAAGAATCTCATCAGGGTGAGTTTGGCTTTTGGTTTTTGGAGTGTCTTATGCTAAAACTCAGTAAACTTTTTTTGTTAACGGAACTCTCACAGTTTTGTTTTGAAAAACAAACCCACCCTATTTATACTTGAGCAGGAGACGTTTAGTTAGAAGTTTCATCTCAGGAACAGAGTCCTCTCAGAGAACAGTCCCGTTGGCCACCTGAGCCATGTGTGAAATGTAACAACTACATATTTTAACCTGCAGCATGTTTACACTTTTAATATCATATAAGTGCATGATGTACGCACAGGAAATAGCAAAGCCTATTTTAAAAATTGAAGCCTACATCACGCATTGACTGGTGCTAATTTGCTTCAAGGGAAGTTATATGGTAAACTGCAAAGTGTTTCTGCTTGAGAAAGAAGGCTGTTGGATTTGGCATTTGCAAACAAATCTTTGAAATGATTGTGTTATTGAGACAGAATAGTCAGGTAACTTTCCAGTCAAGGAAGAATGTTCTTATCTAAATTGTATCGCTGTACATGCAGAAACCCAAAATCCAGATCCAGCAAACATGCTGATTGCAATTCTGTGTTTTTAAGTGACAGCATTTACCAATATGGCTCATGAACCACATGAGCTGCATCAATAATTTGTGTTGCTGCTGTAACTGATTTGAATAGAAGGATCAGCTTATTTCAATTTTAATACTGGCATCTCTGAGCATTTGTCTTCTACTGGTATTTAAAATTAGGTAAGGAAACATAAGCAACTGCCTCAGAAACTACAGTATTAGTTTAAAAGCCTTTTAGCAGTAGCAATATTGGTTTAAACAAAAGGTTCTTTTTGCATTCTTTCAATAGTAATATGATAGCAAAAAAAGAACCCATTGTGTTCTCATTATAAAGGACATTTTGGTAACATTAAGATCTTGCATTTTTAACACTCTGTGTACCAAATGAAAAAGATTAAATCAAAACATCAGAAACATTCCACTGAATTATATATTTTGCATCTTATCTACTTGAATGTTCCATGCAAGTAGCTTGGCAGAATGATAGGTGAGCTCAAATAGCCATCTCAAAGGACAGCTGAAAATAACAGCACTGAAAATGAAGTACAGCATTGAGTTACACAAGATTAAGCTGACTAATCTGCTGATTCAGTTTTGCCTTTGTTTTTTGGTTTTGTCATGCAGTATCAAGAGTCATTCAGACAAACACGCAATGGCATTCCCGGCTCACAGTAACAACAACAAGCAAGGGGCTGTTCCCCTGCAACCTCTGCATCCTCCAAAGAGAAAACCAGCAAAATGCTCACCAGCAGCAAGCGTCAGCAAGCTCAGGGCAGGGAAGGCATGCTTTGGGTTTTGTTGTAGGTATGCTGAACTTTTTTTGTGAGAGATGCTCATTTAAGAAATCTTACTTAAGGACATAGGAAGTAATACTGCATGTCAGTAGAGACCAGATTCAAATACAGCCCTTAAAACGTCTACAGAATATAAAACAGAGGAAGTTTAGATTGGATATAAGGAAGAAGATCTTTACTGTAAGGATGGTGAGGCACTGGAATGGGTTGCCCAAGGAAGTTGTGAATGCTCCATCCCTGGTGGTGTTCAAGGCCAGGTTGGACAGAGCCTTGAGTGATATGGTTTAGCGTGAGGTGTCTCTGCCCCTGGCAGGGGGGTTGGAACTAAAGGATCTTAAGGTCCTTTCCAACCCTAATTATTCTATGATTCTATATTCTTCTGCAAGGACCGTATTTTGCATATTCTAAAGATGTCAAACTCTTAGGAATGTTGATGGATAAGAAAACTGTCAGTGGAGCCTCTGGCAAATGTAACCCTTGCCCATGGTGCAGGTGGGAGCCTGCTCATCACTTATGGAGACAGCTGTGCAAAGACTGCCAACCCCAGAGGGTTGCTCTGCCAGCAGTATCCACCATCACCATGTTGGTGAGGATGGGCACAGGGGAAATCTGTGCATGGTTACCTTGCATTCCTGACCCTGAGCAGATCTTGGGAGGCTTGCTAGAAAGCACGAGAGCAGGCCATGCAATGGGATTGGAAAGCACAAGATAAAGCCAATATATCATGAAGGGCTACTCTGACTGAAACAAGAGAAATAAGAGGCCTTCCAAAGCAGAAATCATAGGAGATGAATACTTTTTTTTTTTTTTAAATATGAGATATAGCAGTGACTAAAATCAGAGAATGATACTGCAGAAATGAACATGTTGCAGGGCAGCTGGCATAGCAGGCTCTCCAAAATAAAAAGAGAATGAAATAAAGCCTTAACCTGCACTGCAAACATTTCAATATTTTCTCTTTCCTTCTGGAAACGATACGGCTGTCTCATTATCCAGGCACTTCTCTAGTTCTACCTAAGCTGCTAAATGTGTGCTGATGGCAGCATGCATCTTGCCTGGAGGTTCATGCCAAAATGAACCTGGGAAACAGTTTAAGAGCAAAATAAAGGCTCTGTAGAGCTGGGATCATGTCTTTGAACTGCCACTCATGGCTGTGACATGGCATTTGATCTCTGTGGGCTTCATTTCTCTATCTGTGGAATGCAGACAATTACATGTATTTTTCGAGGTGAAAGCACACTGGGCTTTTCCAGCTGAGTAGTGCTACATCAGAAGTAAGGTTTTTTTATATGTTTTATAGTAAGAGTTTAGAAAAAGTAGCTGAAGGATGAAAAGGGCTCCCAGGCCAAACAATTTAATCAGCATTTTATTGGATAGAGAAAAAGGATTGGCAGGTAAAGGAAAGAGTTTCTTTCTACTAGTTGTTCATGATGTGAAAATCTATAGCAGAGAGATCTGGTTTTGTGAGGGTTTTTTCCTCCTCTGTATTATGAATTTATTAGTATTAAAACCATATTTAGTGGAAAAGAAGGGACTGAAGTCCCATCATGTTAAACAAACACACAGAAGTCATTTATAGCTGTACACAAGCTTTTCTAAGACACGTGCAGGTGTTCACGTGTATGGGCCTACTGAGTTGAAGTTCAAAAGCTGGCTTACAGTGTTGACTGAGCATACTTCATTTCTTAATTCGCTAAATAGCATCTCATTAGGGAAATGCTGGAAATAAATCTGCAGATGTTGGGTGTTACAAAAAAATCCCTTGCAACCACTGAACTTATCAGCACATCTGTATTTCCCTTACATAAGCCTCTACTTTTAAGGATGCATCAGTTGGCCAGTCTTTAAACTTGAACTTAGCATAGGAAATTTTCAGTGCAGGAGTGATACCTCTTGGGTTTTGGTGGGGTCTTGGGTGCTTGTTTGTTTTATTAAGGAGATAAATACATTTAACAATACAGAAGACCTGAAATAATTTGAGGTATACGTGCTTTAGTGCTAAAAAGCTTTTCATTAAGCAAAAACTACTCAAATTTAAAATCCAGTTCTGAATGTAGACATTTAAAGTAGACATTTGAATGTTTTAGTTGTGGGGTTCTGTTAAATCCCAGGATGGTAGACAACCATCTGGAAGCTTTTGGAAACTGGTCTTGCTGCATGGACCTAATCTCCATTGGGTCAGTGTTGATATGGTGCTAAATGAAGTAAAAAGAATTTCAGTCCATAAGTCCATCACAGCAGCCACTATCTCTGATTACTCATTTGCTGCTACTTTTAACCACTGAAATTGAGCTTGCTGCTTCCTAAGTTAACTGGCTTTCCACTGACTACAGTAGAAGGTCATCAACTGCTCATCTGTCCTGCCTCTAATGATTTTTGTAATGCATTGCTGATCCCAGCTCAGGAGCTGCAGTCAAGACACAAATCCAGAGGAAATCAGGTTTCATTAATTTCAGTGATCTTACCACTACTTATTTGCTTGCTGGTGATTGTGTTTTGTTTTATTTTATTCCTCCAAGAAAATGTAGGAGCAGTAGGATATAAAAACCTAAGGGCTGTTTCAGAATCAAATAGGAACATTCATCTTAATAGCTTCGTATTTTTGCAAAGATGATTGTTTGACTTCTGAACTCTCTCTTATTTAAGTCATCATGGATTTAAAAAAGGAAAAATATGTGTAGCCATGTGACAAAGCAAATGCATGAAAGGAAGATTTATTCAGTTTTCAGAAGATCAGCAGCAGTGAATCACCCTCTTGGCTGAGCTGGAGTGCAATATGGTCAACTGTTTCCCCCAGGAAAGAAGAAAAGATGAAAGTCCCACACTGCTGTAATGGCCATGCAGGAAGCAGTGACCTGTGCCAGGACAGCTCCAGCCAGTGCACCAGGTACAAAGAAGACTTCAGCCTTAAGCATCAGTGGTGGTGTTGTAAAAGCAATCTGAATGTAGCTTTTAGTGGTTCAGTGAAACACTTTAAAAACTTTAAAACAAGAGTACTCACCATACAGAGACCGAATAAACAAAAGCATATTTAGACAACTGTGTGCTATTCAGCCCTTTATATCACGAGAAGAAGAGAGTCCCTCCTCTTTCAAGCCCCCGCACAAATCTGCCATAGATTTTTCAGGCTGATTTCAGAGATTTGTTGTTTTCAGTTAAAACAACATCAGTTACCAGATCTAGATGAGTTGAAAAGAGTTAGTGTCCTTTTTATACCCTGCCCCCCTCTTCCAGCTTTGAAATCTATGAAAGCAAAGCAAAATACATAATAAATGTTAGTGTTTGTTCCATTACTTGCTCAGGCAGTCAGTGTTTGGTAAGGATTTACTGATTTGTTGGAATTTTTGGCCCTTGGAATGATCAATAGGTTATACCTTATCTGAAAAACTCCCACTGTAGTAATACCCAAAGCATCATAAAGCCGAGGAAAAACACAGTGGCAGATATTACAAAGGACAATACCAATTTCTTTTAGGCTTATTTTTCTTAGATCATGCCCTGTTTTTAAGCCTTTAAAGCAGTTATTTATAAGTTTCTTATTCTTACCGATTCCATAGTGAATCTCTTGAAGAAAAACTTGAAAGCCTGGAAGCTGAAGATCTCATGTCTCATCTGTCACAACCAGAAACCTACCTAGATGAGGAGAAAAGATCAAGTAAGTAAAACTGACCAAAGTTATGGGACTAAGAAGATCACTTAGTCAGTTTGAAACAATGTCTATTAATTCTTCAGTGATAACAATTTACCGTACATTATTTGATTACTGCATTTGATATCGTGAATGTCATTGTGGTAAACAGATCCATCAGAAATCACCTGAAAAATAACACCTTGTTGAAAATTGCCACAGGAGAATTTCGTTCAGCTGACTGGGAAAACTCTGTCTAACTGAATGTGGCAACTACTCAGTCAGCTGCACTGAGTGCAGAACTGGAAACATTGCCTGTGCAAGTTGTCTGACACTTCAGAAGACCCAGTTTTCAGATACAACTTCAGTCTAACCATTCAGGCTGAAAATTTCCATGTCAGGTGTGTGCACCAGACTGATTCTTTTTGGAAGATGGAGATAAGATTTGAAGGATCAAGAGCCTGAGAGCAAGAAGTGGCCTGATGGGGAAGAATCCTGCCTGTAGGAGAGGGGAGGAGGGTGTGGGGAGACAGTCATCCAGGACATGGGCAAGTGAAATCACAGTTTTTCATCAGACTCCTCCACTATTATGTTTCATACTGTTTCCAGTTTATGACTTGTGTTTCTGTGGGGGAAGGGTTAGGGTTAGAGATGCTGAAGAGCCTCTGAAGGAGGTGAGTAGGACTGGGACATACATTTCACTTTGCAATCTGCTGGGCTGATCTCCATAGTAGGTCCAAAGGGATGATGTGGAAAAAATTTGGGGTCAAATATTGGTGCTGAGTAGGAGAAGACTACCCAGAAGCTGTTGCCTTGTAAGATGAGGTGGTAAAGCAAGGAGACTGGGACAACCACATGAGATGGAGACGTGGACCAGGCAGGCTGGTAGAAAGGGAGACAGAACTAGCACCCACAAGGGTGACACTGGGACCAAAAAGAGGGGTGAAGGCAGTAGGGCAGTGCGAGGGAGGCTGCCACCAGATCACACCCTTTGCTTAGCCAGTCTGCCCATTTCCATTTGAGTGTGCCATTTGATTCCATAAGGAAAAGCACATCTCCTCCATGACTCTTTTTTTTTTTTTAAATCTTCTATGTAAGAGAAGTCTTGTTACTTCTGTTGACCTATTTCCCCAGAGACTGCTGTAGTTTGTTTATGGATTTTGTCCTGTTTGTTTTATGTTTCCAAATATGTCATGTGGGCCTGGCGGTTTGCCAACCCTTAACATTTAAAATAACATAGAGTAATCCCTGTCTCCAAGACACATGGGATTCAATTAAACATTGCAACATAGAAGGTTTTGGATGGGATGTTACTGTATCTCTTTTCCCTTACTTAGCCTTTAGGGTACTTTCAAGTATGTTGTGGAGAGCTCTTTTGCCATTACCAGGGCTTAACCAGCAGATGCAGACTTTTACATACTGGCTGGAAGGTATCTGAAATTCTACCAGCTTGGCATCATCGGGGAAGAAATGGTTATGGGCTTTGTCCATAAGGAAGAGGTGTGTCCTTTGATATGAAGGTAAGGGTGTAAGAGGAGAATTATCTACTTTGAACCAAGAATATTATGCTTGAATATTATGTTACCTGCAGGAAGAAGGTGTTAGAAGATCTGGTCATTGCACTGTTTTTTTGTGGACTGGGAAAGACCTCCACCAGCAGACAACCAAATACCACTCTCTTACAGCAAAACCACAGCCACTGGCATCCTGGATCTGACTCAAACCACAATGACATGTCTGCTTGTTGTTTAACTTTACAGCACATCTGTTCCTTTTAATGGTATTATCCATCTCCTTGGGCAAAACAGTCACCTTCATCATCATAGGTGTATGCGTTCAAGTCAAAGCAAAAAGACAAGAATTTATAATGGCTCATTGCTTTCTAAATCAAATGCTGAGCTCAGTGCACAAGTAACTATGATTTACATTAAATTACGTTTTGACTTGATGGTAATTTATTTTTCATAAGTCCAGAAAGTCACAGAATCTCCTTACTTCTGCTATAATAAGCCACTGAATGTTACTTAGTCATTTGCTGTAGACAGCAAAGGAGTTACCAGCATTTGTGCTTACATCTCAGTGGTTCAGGATGATTATGTTCCCTTTTTAGGTCTCCTACACTTTTCTGGGCCTCTCAGTACTACAGCAACTAAAAAATAAAACGAAATATGAAAGAAATGCAGGAAAATATTTATAAAGAAATCAAGTTGGTTGAAGTTAGCAGGACTGAAGTTAACAACACTGAGAAGGAAACATGTAGATTTCCTAGAGAGAAGAAAGGTAGCCCTGTGAGGAATATGCCTATGTGAGTTCGACTCCCTGACTTGGTGAACTTGGAGAAGTTATTAGGGCACCATTCAGATGGCAGGTTCCTCAGGCCTCATGCCCATGTGAGTGTTTTGTCTGGGTAAAATTCTTTTGAGGATAAATACAGCTTTTATGAAACTCTCAACCAAGGACAGTAATAGAATTCAGGCTGTGTGAAGATGGCATCTTGACTCTCTTTCACACACACACAGTCCCCCCAGAAAAACCTGAAAGAAAAACAGTACTTCCCAACTGTCCAGGGCAATGTGAGGGCAACACTATCAGATTTATGTAGAGTCCTTATATATGACAGTATGTGAGTTGGAGCAGGGAGTGAAAAGGAGATGTAAATCCCAGAATAGATAGAGGACAATCAAAACCTAGAAATATGATTGCTTTTTAGCTAGGGACACCTGCACCCAAAGAGAGAAAGACTAGTTGAAGCTTAAGTAAGGTCTAACTGAGAAGAGGGTGACATTAATGACAGCTGGGGGACAATTCAATAAAATACAATGCATACATACAATACAATAATGCAGTAGCAGATTCTATTATCCTCAGATGAGGAAAGCATTTGTTGTTGTGCCTGATTATAAATATGTGCAATCATATAAAATTTTACAATCTTAAGTGCTTGAATAATCCTAGCTCTTAACTAGTAAGTATAATAAGTTGAATTCCTATATGTTTAAGCTTTTAGAACTCATTAAATAGTGTGGAAAGCCAATGGATTCTCAGGGAATATAAAAATTGTCAATATATTAAATAACAGTCAAGAAGAAAATCCCATGCAGAGATTTTTCAGAAGAGGGGAAAAGATCAGGAAATATTTTCATACTCTTTAATTCCCTGCATTTGATAGTGCTTAAACTCTATGATTTCATGCATAAGTCATTTCATTACCTATTTTGGTTTGTTTTGTAGGATTATTTTTTCTTCTTTCATAATAGAATACACAACCTGAACAGCAACAATATACATATATAGTTTGCATGTCTAATGAAGATTTCAGGACAAACATTGAACAGCCAGTTTCCATCTATGCCTGAGCTGGAGTTAACCTAACCAGAAAACCTCAGACAACCAAAAGTTAATATTGTTTCTACAGTCCTTGATGTAACAATAATAGTAGTTGTACACCACCATGATGAAAATCAACTCCCTTTATGTCCAAACAATAGCATGAATCACAGAATTCTGACCTTGATACACAAATGCGATCATGTAGTAATTACAGCTCTTGCTCTTTCTGTATAAACAGACTACTTCATCTGGAAATGCTGTAGGGTACTGCTTCATTCTGCAACTGACAACTAATGACTGAGCAGAAAGCTTTTATATCCCCAGAAGTTTTAAAATAAAGCAGGTAGAAAAAAAATCTTATTTCCTGCAAATATACTCTGTTGAAAAGCATACCTTATAAATGTAAAGATTGTCTTCAAAATCACGTTTTGCAAGGCTATTCAATCTGTTTTCAGGGCAAAATACAGAATTAAATTATTTAGTCCATGTGATAACTGGCATGTTCTTGAACAACTGCAAGATTAAAGAAAATGTCTTTCATTTCATGCCAAAATCTGCTTGCTCTGTTTGTGTCTATGTTGGTATCATCCAAACAGGATGTGACAAACATACACTCTTTGGCTTCACTCTAATCCACAATTTGGATAACATTGTTAGGATGTGGTCTAACAAACTTCAGTGAAGCAAATCCGAGGATATTTGTCTGTGGACAAGTCACTTCAGACTTGATTTTAGTATGTCCTAAGCAAAAGAATCTCTGATCTGACCTTGTGCATCAGCTGTTTGTGCTTCCATAAAAATACACAATCGAAATACTGACATGCCTATAGGCACGATGTGAATCCTGAAAGGAGTAATGGAAAAGTCATCTCTGAATTGTACTAACTCAGCATAGAGCCCAGGAGTGACCCTGAAGAGCTGACTGACATCCTCTTGATGATGCGTCCCTATTTATAATGGTTCCTGAGAAATGTCAAGTGCTCAGTGTTTAATCTATTAAATAATTACAGCGATGACTTTAGATAACTCTTAATCAAAATTCTGTTTGGTGCCAGAAGTTCTACCAAAGTTTCTGAGTATTACATCAACAGTATTTGAAATTAAATGTGTTTTCCTTAATTCCGTCCTGACTAGCATGAATTGCATATCTTTCCTCTGATTCTTTATGAATAGTGCCTGGAATTTGCCATTGCAGTGTTTTACACTGGATTGATGTCAGGCTGAGAAGGATATCAATCCTCGGGTCATTCCACTGAACTTTTAAATATATTGGCAAAGTATGAGCTTTCTTGCATTCATCTTGAAATACCCACATGTTTCGATATGTACAGAAGATCAACTTAAAAATTCAGATAGTTTCTTGAACAGTATCCCTAGAAATAATAATTAGTTAAAAAAAAATCTAGTTCTAGGACATGGCATTGCTCTTAGAATGGAAATTAGTTCCCCACCCTCAGCTGATATGTTCATCATATGATTATAAAATTATCATAGTAGGATACATGGACTGTGCAAGTGCTATAGAATAGTTGCACTTGACAGCTTAGATGTGACTTAGGAATTCATGCTGCAAAACACAATAACTCTTAAGACTCAACACTTTTATAATATATCACCACTGTACAATGGTACAACATATTGCTATAGAGGACCTGAGGGCTTTAGTGTACTTGTTTAGTAATTTTCTGCTGTCTCATTCAAAGGTGAATTTTCCTTAAGATTCAGATATATGACAAAGAGATTTGTGTAAGTATTTAGACTGAAGGACTCTCCAGTCTTTGAAGCCTGTCTTTTGTTATTTGTCTAAGGGCTTCAAGATGATGGTATTGTGAGTTAAATCTCCTTGTATCTACTTAGGAATGACCTTTTCATCACTTCCAACTATATCCATCATCTGTTTCTTGGGCTCAGGGAAGAATTTTCATTTTGTGGCAGCAGCAGCTAATCAGAGTGTCTGCTGCTCAGCCTCTGACCTCTGCAGAGCTTTCGCTGATCTCGTCAAGGGTATTCTAGGGTATTTTTTTATACTTAATGACAAGGCTGCCATCCACAGTCCAAGACTTTTTGTTACTTACAATCCACTTCTGAAGACTATGAGGGGCTAATAACACATAAGAGTGCTTCACACCTTCTCTGTATGGTTAGTAATTATTTACTCAGTATGTAGTCTACAGCAAAATAGCCTGTACATACATAATTTGTGTAGATTATATATACATATATAGGTATATAGATAACAGATTAATATTATCTGAATGTGGCATCAAGTCCTAGTGCCATCAAGTGGCTCAATAGCCACTAATTGTGGGCTGAATTCAATATCAGCCATTTGCTGGATGTGTATTTAAGAAAGAGTCATTATAAAAAATAGGAACTAAACCTGGTATAGTTTGATCAGCTTGTCTCTGTACGAAAAGTCTGGTGCATCTGAGCTCCCCATGTCCTTTCTACAGCAGCTTTTCTACCCTGTTGACAGCTCTCAAGTCAAGCAGCACAGCTTCTGCTTCTAGCCCTCATTGATTAGTCAGGCACTAATAAAGTCTTGCATTGTCCTTGTGTCTGAACATCTCACAGAAGTTAATGTTTGATATATATTTGTAGGATGGCTGTATATCCTTGTGATCAAAGGCTGGCTCTGTACTTGAGACCCCAGACTGAAGATGAGCACATCAGGCTCCAGTCTGTGGCAGAAGCAATGGACTGATGTGCTCACCTTCAGTCTGATGTCTCAAGTACAGAGCCAGTCTTTGATCGCAAGGATGACTCTACAGTGTCTTCTGCCAACCCCTCTTGTCTTGGTACTGTGCTGCCCTTCACAGCGGTGTGTTTTTCATGCCTTCCTCTTTAACATGCGCCAAGCAGTGCCACT